ACCCTGCTTTTTCTTACTGTAAGATTCATGGACACTGAAACTTGAGTGCCAGAAAACTTGCTTTCGACCTTTCTAAGGAAGAAGAAGTAGAATACTTGTGTTAGAGAAGCAAGGTGGGGACAGTTACACAAATCTGCCCAATTAGTGTAGGGTTTTAAGAGTACAGCCATTTGGGCAGAGTTAACTGGGTTTAAATCCATCTTTGAACTTTGACAGTACTATTCTCTCAGATCTTCAGTTTGCTCAGCCAAAAAGCTGAAGAACAGTTATAATAACTATAATTCTTGTGAAGATATATGAGGAAACTTACATAGAGATTTTTAGCACACAATACCTGGAGTAAAAATAGGGCTCTGTTAATGTTAGTCTTAGATGGTAATGATGATTATGGTGAAAATAATAATAATTATAGTACTGAAATTGCATAGCTATATATATAGCCAGGGAAGGTTTTCAGTATGAAGCCAAGAGTTGAACAGAAACATTCTAACCAAAGCCTTCTTGATGACTGAAATTAGTTGATAAAGATTAATAAGTTATGAGGAAGACAAAAATTTTCTAGTTGGCTTAGTGTATCATTTTGCTCCATGTAGCTTATGTATAGGATTCGTGGAGTCCTAATTGTTTCATATCTTTTAGGGAAAAAACAAGAGGGCACAGAAAGGTTTGGTCTTAAGGTGGGGTCATATGATGAAAACTGTTAGTATGTTCATGTGATCTGAGAATGTATGTGCCCTTTACATACCCAGCTGTAATGCCCTGTGGCAGAAACTTTTAACTTTGTGGTTCTGCATTCTGTTTTATTACTGATTGCATAATACTTAAAACATTGATAATTAAGCAATTGATTTAATAAAGATGGGACAAATTTGCTCTTATGCCTTTGGCTGGTTTTCCTGAAGCTTCAATGATTGTGGGCATGTCATTATATTTCTCATAGTTTTCCTTAAAATTAGCAGCTTGTAGTAAATAATCTCTGAGTTTGATTTTCATAGTAATATATCTTTGTGGCTTGCAGATTTTCAGTTTGAACAATGCAGTTCTGAGGCATTGTTAGACACTTGTTCTTTGCTAAGAATTAATACTTACATTAACTGAGTTAACATGAGTCTTTTATTTGGAAAGCTAACTTCTCAGGAATACTTGCATTTATTGGAAATGTCATGCACAGGGTAAATGCGGTGTACTTTGGCCCTGGGGCATATTTTTGTATGTACCCAGTTGGGCTAAGGAGGGGAAACTTAGTGTTACTCAGATTTAAATACGGACCCCACTATTATAATCCACTCTGATTTTGGAAAGTGGGTGATAATCAAGACATTATTCTTACACCTGACTTCTTTTTTTAAATCAGCACAGTGTAAAAGATTAACCACATTGACATCTTTAATTTTTGGTTTTATAATGACTTTTTTTGTGAATGCTTACTTCTTTTTCACTGCAATTTGTGTTTGTTATTTATTTTGATTTTCTTAGCTCTTTTCACATTGTATTAGTTCTTTGCGTCAGACACCATGAACTCACGAAAAAAGTAAACATATCCAAGAGTGACCAGAGACTGTGCCTCAGTGTCCAGAATTCAGGAAAGTTTTGCCTTTTTGTCATTAGTGTGTTTTTGAGTATCTGTTGATATTCTCTTTAGATACCTTGCTTTGAGTGGGCATACCATTAAAGGAGAAGTGCTTGGAATCTGTGATAGTCAAAAGTGAACACAAAACTTGCTACTATAAAGAATTGATTGTAATTTCTAAATAGCAATAATGACCATATTGAATGACTTTAAAGGCTGTCATTTTTAGCAACTAAGTATGCAGGCATATAAAAGCACCTTTTCCTTAGTCATGATTTGCAGTTTAGTTCATGAAAAAATAGTGAAGAGATTAATGATGCCCACAGAATGATTTCCTATAATTCCAGTTAACATAGCACTAATTAGTTTCATAGTGAATCATTTGGCCTCCCTGAATTTCCATTTCATCCATCTGTAGAATGTGGTAGTAGGTTTTGAATCATTTCTCAGTGTCAGCACTATCGAGATTTGGCAGTTAATTATTTATTGTGAAGGAGGGGCTGCTGTGTGTATGGTAGGATGTCTGAAAGCATCCCTGGCCTATACCCACTAGATGCCAGTAATACCCCTCTAAGTTATGAAAAACAAAAATGTTTCCCAACATTGCAAATATTCCCTGGGAGGTAGAGTTGCTCTGTGGAAAGCTACTGGTCTAAAATCTCATTTTTAAGAGGCATTTGCAAACATTAAAATGGTATCATTTTAAGAATTTGTGACCATAGTAATCTTTAATGTCTTGTAATAAAAATTTCTTCTATGGAGTGACATGGGTGATGTACAGTTTGGTTTCATTGGAGTGGGGGTTGATCTTTTTGAAGACTTTCTTACAGATTTTGTTGGTATGAATCTGTCCCTTTCATTAAAATTTGACTGGGTCAAGAAGATTTGGTACATATACACAATGGAATATTATTTGGCAACCAAAAAGGATAAATTCATGCCACTTGTGACAACATGGATGGGGCTAGAAAAGGATCATGCTTAGTGAAATAAGCCCAGAAAGAAATAGAAATATACTAGGTGGTTTCACTCATAGCAGGGGTGTAAGGAAAGGATCAGGAAAAAAAAACTATACACACGCACACACACATTTACATACATATATAGAGGAGAGAGAAAGAGAGTAATTGTAATAAAGTAATAACAAACATCAACTAACAACTATACACCAGAGACATTCTATGGGGGAAGGCAAGGGGAACAGCATCAAAACTGGGGTAGGAAGATCACACAGGACTATGGTGATGGCACATGGGTGCAGTGGTAGTAGGAAGTCCATGGGGATTACAACCGAAATGAAAAAATGTACAGAATGAAGAATGATGTAAAAATGTATTTATATAATAAAAAAAATTAAGACTGAACATACTGTAGAATTTTTTTTAAAAGTTGAGGACTCAGATATCAATGTGTGAAGCAGGCCATGAGAGAATAGCTTTGAACAAATAATGCTTTTATGTTTATAGATTAATACTGGTGATTGGAATAGACTATGTTACTAGATGAGTGTTACTTCTCATTCATTAAAAAGTAAATCCTTTGGTGGTTACTATAATGGAAGAGGAAAGTAGATGTGTACATCAGGTAAAAGGGATCAATTGAAGGATAGAATTGAACTTTTAGTGGTCAGCTTAATGTAGTACATATTCATGTTGATTTTTTTTAAAGATTTATTTATTCATACAGAACTGGGGTACAGGCCAGAGATGTGGAGGGTGAGAGCATGCACCAAGGACAGAGTGGGGAGCAGAACAGGCAGATCGCGAAGTACACTGCTGAGGGGAGCAGCGGGCGGGTCAGGGGAGGTCAGCTGTGCTATGTGGATCTCCTGGGGGGGCAGGCGGGGATCGAACTCATGCGGAAGTGGCTTAAGCTTCTTAGTGCTGTGCTTTAACCCGCTGTGCCACCAGGGAGGGCTTCGTGTTGATTTTTAATGATGTACACCTTAAAGTTATGATGGTTTATTGTAGTGTTACTTCAATTAAATAGAAGTACTGGCACATAAAAGGCATTCCAAAATATTTTTGAACTGATGGATGATGGATAGATGGCTCAAGGACAGAAGAACTTACTGTGGTTAACTCGAGTGCCTTTAGGAACATTATTTCATGAGTGACAGTTAAAAACGGTCACCACAAAAGTGAAAGAAAGGGGCCATTGGGTGTGAGCACCCTAGAACTCCTTTTATCTTTTCATGAGTCTCCCCCACTCCTGTGTGTTACCTGCCTACCTCTGTTCCTTCACAGCCATTTTATTCCAACTCCCTAACAATATCCTTAGTTGTCTTCCCCCACCTTTATATTTGTTGTTTGAATTCATTTTATTAGCATTTCCCCCCCTCCATATTGTATAATTTCTTTAACTCAGACATCATGAACTCATGAGAAAACAAAACCCACCCTCTCTGACTGTGAATCCACATCCGGGCATTCATGAATGCAGTATTCTTTGATCTTTCTTCTCCAGTTGTTTGAGTCCAACTATTGATGTGATTCCTGATCTTTGAAAATCATTTGCTTTTGATTTTCTAGAGATTTTGTGTCCCTTTTGATTTATACTAGAACAGTTAAAGTGTTTGATCAAAGGAATCTGTGTTCTTAACTGTAGTGAATGGATTCCATGTTGACATCCTCAAAATAAAGTTATTGATTTGGTGCAGAAAAGTATTTCCTCCATTTCACAGTTAAAGAAATTGAGATCCAGATTTCTTAAGCCATAGAGCTGAGCATCAGCAACAAATGAATAGCTACAAGGACTAGAACTGCTGGGCCCAGATGTGGAGATCAGATCCCTTGCTCTCAGATTGAGGTTAGAAATAAAACAAGGTAGAAGGCCCTCCCTGGTGGCGCAGCAGAATAAAGCACAGCACTAAGAAGCTTAAGCCACTTCAGCATGAGTTCGATCCCCGCCTGCCCCTGAGGAGATCCACATGGCGTGGCAGACCTCTCCTGACCCACCCGCTGCTCCCCTCAGCAGTGTACTTCGTCGATCTGCCTGTTCTGCTCCCCACTCTGGCCCTGGTGAATCCTTTCACCCTCTGCATCTCTAGCATGTACCCCAGTTCTATATGAATAAATAAATAAATCTTAAAAAAAAAAGGTAGATAGATTAATTTGGTAAAAAAATATTGAATCCATGGTACCAGGAAGTGAAAATCATTTTTTTAATATTTTGTTTTAAAGTCATAAGAATAATTATCTAGGATCACTACTTCACAGTCCCATTACTTTGATTTGATGGCAATACCATCTCTAAACTAGACAAAATTCTTTTTTTTTTTAAATAAAGATTGATTTATTTATGCATACAAGAACTGGGGTACAGGCCAGATATGTGGGGGGTGAGTAGACAAAATTCTTAATGACAAGAACTTTCCTATTAGTTTTCCTTTAGTAAACATTGCTCACGATCTGCTTCTTTTCTTTCTTAGACCTTCTCTCACCATGCCTCATAGGAATCTGACAGGAAGCTGCAATGTTAACTGTGGCTGTAAAATACATGAGTATAAGCCAGTATGTGGATCAGATGGAATTACATACTTCAACCCTTGTCTGGCTGGCTGTGTTAACAGTGGTAATCTTAGCACAGGAGTGAGTATATTTCACATGCTACTGACTTTTGTTAATCCAACATCCTGTGGCAAAGGCCAGTTAGAATTCATATGCAAATGTATGATGTCAGCCTTCCTTTCAAGAAACTGCAAATAACCTACCCAAAATCCTTCTGACAAATACAGAGAGGGAAGAAAATTGAGCAGTGGCATCATTTGTTTTGCAGGGAGGACTGGAGTATTTGGGTGTAGTGATTTGATTCCATATCAGCTCTCTCCTACTTTATATTCTGTGCCCACTCAGTGAAATTTAAGAGCATTAGTTCTCTCATTTGTTGCCTGGACAGAACCCTGGCGATGGATTTGAAGGTCAAGATGATTACCTTTGGTGCTGCTAGAAGTGAATTGGAGAGCACCTCCCCTATCATTGAAGACTGGCAATGCCACTTCTCAGAGGCTATCAGTGCTGACTTTAAAAAAAAAGCTTTCAGAGTAAAGATATTTCTATTAGTCAAGAATAGGCTATTTTGAGAATTCCCTTCCCTGTGAATTATAAATTGGCTGTCATACTGTGGGAGAAGGTTTTCATGTTCTACTAAAATTTTTTTTGGTTTCATCCTTTACATAAGAGTGGATTGTAGGGGGACTTTTAATTAAAAGGCAAGGTTTGATAAGTTGGAAGAGACCACAGGACCTGTTCTTCGTGGCTAAGTCCTTCCTTGGGATTTAGTGAGTCTTCTGTGGACAGTCCTCCTGCCAGCACAGATGACCAAACAGCACCTGATTTTTATGTTTGCTCCTACTGCTACTCTTGAGTGTGTGAAAGGCCCATCGCAGCTCAGCTCATGTGCACTCAGCAAAAGCAACATAAAGTGTAGGAAGGTTAACTAGCAGTTTCACTTGAAAAACCTAGGTCCTTAACGTTATCTGGTTTACAATGGAACAACCATTGTTATGGTCACTGTTGTTGAAGTTGAAGTCATCATGGTTGCATTATGAACTCTCAGCTTTTATTTAACAGATTCCATCCTCTGAGTTCAGGACTATGCAACATGCTTGCTGAGCACAAGTACAAGCAAGTCTTGGTTTCTGTGTTTGAGGGGCTTCTCACCTTGGAGTGTCCAAAATTTAATCAGCCTTTGAAGTAGCTTATAACGATAACTAAAAATGAATGTAGGAAACATGAAAGTGATAGAATTGAGTATTGAAAGTATCTTAGAGTTTAGATTTAAATTACTTTGAATTGAGGATTTTGGGATTGCTAACCACTTTGGACTGGCTTGCTGAAGCTATGGCTAATAGAAAATTTTATACCAAGAAAATACTGGAGTCATTTTTGAGTCATTTGACTTGACTTTGCCTTAATTTTTCTTCTGATTGGCATACAACTGGTCTTTATTGTCACTTAGATAAGGAACTACACAGAATGCACCTGTGTCCAGAGCCGGCAAGTGATCACTCCACCCACAGTCGGACAACGCAGTCAGCTCCGCCTGGTTATTGTCAAAACGTATCTCAACGAGAATGGCTATGCCGTGTCTGGGAAGTGTAAACGGACCTGTAATACCCTCATCCCGTTCTTAATTTTCCTTTTCATAGTCACCTTCATCACAGCATGTGCCCAACCATCAGCCATCATAGTAACACTCAGGTGAGAATGGCCTACAGCTCTTAGGGTGGGTAACAGACTCTGAATTGCCAGAATATATATTCTAGTGCTAGAGACTGATGTGGTCAAGGAGGGAACAAAGCAAAATGACTTTGTGTAGGACAGAGCTCGAACTTTTGCTTGGAGAACTTAAGACAAGTGACCTTCCTATGATAGGAAAATTGTAACATTTGGTATTCCAGGACTATGTGCATTCAGATGGTTCTGTTCTGACGGTTTAGTATTGTGGGGTTTGTTTTTTTTTAATTGCCTTTGGTGTTTGAAGTCTCTGTCCTCAGAACTTCAGCTTTAGGAGTTGAAAACTATCCACTGTGTTAGCTGTAAGAAACTGGGCCCCAAAGGAGGCAGGAAATTATTTGGTAAAATGCTAAATCAGCATATAGCAAAGAATATTATGTCCAATCTTGTACACAGTTAATACCTCGAGGATTAGTGACCATTTATGCTGGATCTGCAGTTAAAATGATGATTTCATTAATTCTACCATCACTTAAAATTTTGGAATCGAATCAAGGAAAGAACAGAATGGGAAATACCATTTTTCAGTTGTTCATGCTGTGCCTTATTTACCATGTTATATATCCTGTTTGTGGTTTTTAAGCATCTAAGAGAATACTGAAATTGCCCTGATGGAAGTCCTGTTTAAAAGGTTGGCATTAGCATGTTCAAAACAGTCTGTTGGGCTTTTCAGTGAAGACTGCAGCAGTCAAGATAAAGAAGGGGACTGTGTAGGGAAACAAGATGATGCCACAGCAGCTTGGGGTGGGGGGGGAGGGCTGGAGTGCAGTGAAAGGGGAGGAAAAGGTATTAACCTTTTCTGCCTTTGACTTCCTCCCTGGCTCCTCTATACCCCAAAGTGCTAGGCATCTGGTGAGAAACACCTGCAGAGGCTTCATTTTTAGCAGGGTGGTGGGCTGCTTATTCTGCACATTCTGGCTTCCCTTCTGTGGCGTGCTGAGTTAGACATTTCTCAGCCAACTCCTTCCTTGACAGTAAGATAACAGCATATGAAAGGCCCATTGGTTTGGTCACATAATTCCTACATCAGCAGATATTTATGTGCAGCATTGGGCAAATTGCTGTGAGAAAAATGGGTTGTGGAAATGATGGCATGTGGGAATTTTATATTATATACCCCCAAACCAATGTCTGTGGGATAGACAGGAGAAGATGCTGCATCATTTAAAAAATATGGCTCATTTTTTATGGGGGTAGAATGGGGAATGGGATCAAAAACAGTGGGAGAGGTAAGTACACTGGACTATGGTGATGGCACATGGGTGACTTAGTGATGGGAAACACACGGGGATTACAATTGAGATAAAAAAATGTACAAAATGATGTATATTAAAAAATTAAAAAATAATACTTAGTTAAAAAAATATATGGCTCATTAATAAATATACTCAATCAGTTTCTTCAAACTTTAGGTCTATAAGAGATGTTAAAAAACCCCAATACGGGTTGTTGTTCTGTAATGTTGAGACATGGCAAATCACCAGTTGGCTTCTAACCCAAGATTTCAGAAAAAGAGCCCTTTAATCTTTGCTAATTACAAAATCAGTAGACTTCAGTCTTTTTGCCTGTGGGAATTTACTTGGAACATAAGTTTTAGAAAAACTAATGACTGGGAGGGATTTATTCTCTCTGTAACTTTTGACTTGTTTCCTAGGTTTTTTGGCTATAACCTCTTATGCTGTATTTTTCCTTGAGAAATTATGGGAATAATTTTCACTTTATATACTTACTGTTCCGGCAAGTTCAGGCAAGCAGAGAAAAAGAATGCAGTACTAGGGTAAATTACTATGATTTTAAAAAACAGAACTGATTTTTGAAGTTCTGTTAGAACCACGTCTTCATCTTTGGAGCCTTTCTTCAGTTATTTACACAGCAACAATTAGAGTTAATGGGAGATTTTTGGTGTCTTCATTGGAGAGACCTTTCTTCACTGATTTAGCCATCTACAGTATTGCTTGACTATTGCTACATTATAGCAAGTTAAATATTTTGGCTCATCACCTCTGTGGTCCTTAGCTCTATCAAAAGCAGGCTTGACTTGACATTTATTTGCTTTTTTTTTAAAGATTTATTTATTCGTACAGAACTGGGGTACAGGCCAGGGATGTGGAGGGTGAGAGGATTCACCAGAGACAGAGTGGGGTACAGCACAGGCAGATCGAGGAAGTACACTGCTGAAGGGAGCAGCAGGCGGGTCAGGAGAGGTCTGTCACGCCATGTGGATCTCCGTGGGGCAGGCGGGGATCGAACTCATGCGAAAGTGGCTTAAACTTCTTTGTGCTGTGCTTTAACCTGCTGCACCACCAGGGAGGGCCCTTGACATTTATTTTCTTAAGGCCATTATTTTAAACATATTTTTCTCCCCCCCTCTCCCCCAACCCCTTTCACTGCAGGTCTGTAGAAGAAGAGGAGAGACCTTTTGCGCTGGGAATGCAGTTCGTTTTATTGCGAACACTTGGTATGTTCCTGAATTGTCCAGTATAACTCTTAGTTCCTCTTTGCTGATGGCAAATTCTCACTGTCTCTTAAAAATGGCAATCAAGTCAGTAGCTAGTACTGGTAGCTAGAATTTACAGGTTAGTGTTGAGGACACAACTTCCTTATTTTCCAAAGTGAACAAAAAGCTGACCTTTTCTGTCGTGTGGATGAAACAAAACAAGAATGGACTTTAGATCAGTTTCTTTTTTCACAATGAAGATAAACTTTGGCTAAATTCCCCACAAGATTTTATACAGTGAGAGATATTGAACTAAGCAACAGAGGTGGACTTAAAACTCTGCTTCCCCCCACCTTTTTTTTTTTTTTTAACTGAACAGGATGGCTATTGGTGCTCATTTTATTCATGATAATTTCAACTCCTTACTTCTTTTCAGACTTTTATTGGACTGGGCAAAAAGCATCTCTATCAAGATTTCTGAGGACAAGAAATAAACAAATTCTAAAAGGAAAAGAAAGTTCTCAAAACTGACATATAGACACCCTTTACTTATTAAAAAAAAAAATGTTTGTTAGATCCATGACAGTGTAGTAAATCAGAGTTCATTTGGCACGAAGAATATTGTTCTGAATTTTGCAAATGCTGCACACCACTGCTGTGCTTGGAACAATGCATGGGAAGTGGTGTGTGAAGTAATACATCCCCTTGATCAATTTCAGTGTATTTTTAATTGAGATCCTCATTATCCAGCTTTTTTTTTTCCTTGTGTGACAGTGTGTCATTTTCTTCAGCTGTTATTTCCTACAGTAATCAGTATCATTGTTCACAGGACAAAAAACTTAGTTTTTTTTATTCAAATTTTTATTTCTGATTTGAAGGGTGAGATGTTTTTAAAATGATATCTTCTGATCCTTTTAAACATTAATTCTTTTTGGAATTCTCAACTTATCATATGTTGTGGTTGATGGTCTAATCCAAGAATGAGCACTTTCCAGTAAACCTCAAAGGTTTCTAGATGCACTGCATAGGTGCCTTCATTTAGCTTTTTTTTGGCACCAAGAACACATTGAAAATACCATTTTCAAAGCATTCTGTGCAAGAGAAATTCTGACTGACTTTGTTGTAGTTAGAAGTTTACCTATACTTCTGCCTTATACTTGTGATTAAAAACAAAAAGGTTTTATTTTTAAAAATGGAGATTTGTTTAGCAAAGAGGTGGTTGATTAGTAAAGAAAAAAAAATTGCTTTTTTTTTTTTTTTTTTTTTGCGTGGCCTATCTCCAGTGCCATGTTGTTCAGGTGACTTGATTCAGCTGCAGAGGTAAGTAGTAGGTGAATGCTGTAGCATCAGGAATGAACAGAAGAAGAACATCTCAGGCATTTATTAGTCAACCTAAACTTAGGTTCTGTTGATTGTGAAAAAGTATGGTTAGACCAACAAGTAAATTTCCATTTCCTTAAATTCCAAAGCAAAAAGAGAGCTTTAAGTACTTTAATAGCATTAAATTTTAATTGCAGTGAGTAGATGCATTTTAAATGAATGCAATGTATTAAAAATGTATCACTCATTGCCTCCTCTGCTATTCACCTACATTTCTTCTCTCCCTCCCTCCCTCCCATCATTCCCTTCTAAAGCCATACTCTTCATGTCTAACAACATATTCTTGTTGAAGGTCCATGGGCAGTGTGATTAGATCCTTGATAGTCAAACTGATGATGTTTGACTCCTGCCATTGACTTATGGGTAACAGATTTGCAAGCAGTTTAAATCCAACCTGGTAGTTGATAACATGGCCATATTTCTGAAAAGCAAAGTGAGTGTAGGGGCATCTAAACAAGTGAGGAGTTGAAAAGAGGGATCAATATTTGCAAGGTGAACAAGTTAGGGATGGGGCTGCAGTTTGCCAAAGGGAGTAACATGTGACGAGGGGAATCTACTTGGGTAGGTTTTCTTGTGGGAGGAAAGAGAGGCCTACATCATAGTCCAAGCAGTAAAATTACTACTCATCACATATGTTTCATAAGCTTCAAAGATGAATTTTATGCTATAATGAGTTCCATACCCCAAGTGCCTTTATAAAAATGCCACTTGATGTGGTTTCTGACATGGAGGGGACAATGCTTTCCTCATATTCTTCCTGCATGCAAACATCAACCCACAAAAACTAGGGTACTGAATTTCAATGGATAAAAGAAGATTCTAGTATAGCCTCTTGAGTTTTTAACAACAAAATTTGATTTTTAAATTTAAAAGGTTCTCCTAATTGCATTTTTAGCAATAGACATTTGTGTGTTTCTAAAAACCAATAACACATTCTGAGTCACAAAATGGAAGATGTAGAACCCTTCAATTTGGTGAATGTTCTTGTACTAAATATAAATGTGACTTATATTTTAAAAGTTGAGGCACAGTGGAAGATCACCCCCTTGGCTTCTTTGCAAGCAAACAAACAGCTTGCTAATTTATAGATCTGTTTTGTCTTATAAGATGTGCTAAATATTTATGTTTTCCTTCCCTTCCCCCAACTTTAGCATACATTCCTACTCCCATTTACTTTGGCGCAGTGATTGACACCACCTGCATGCTCTGGCAACAGGAGTGTGGAGTACAGGGCTCTTGCTGGGAGTACAATGTCACATCATTTCGTTTTGTCTATTTCGGTTTGGCGGCTGGCCTCAAGTTTGTTGGCTTTATTTTTATTTTTCTGGCCTGGTACTCCATTAAATACAAGGAGGATGAGCTGCAGAGGCAGAGGCGGCGAGAATTGCCTCTCAGCACCGTGAGCGAGATGGTGGGGCACACGGACAATGCCAGTAAATATGCCCGAACTAGATCTTGCCCTGTGTTCCACACCCAGGGAGAATTTCATGAAGACACTGCTCTGCAAAAAGGGATCCAGTACACAGCACAGACCTATCCGGGGCCCTTCCCAGAAGCAATAAATTCCTCTCCAGACCCAAGACTGGAAGACAGCCCTGCTACCATGGAACCACCTCCTGAAGCTTGAAATCGGAAGACTTTAGTTTTGTTGGTTGAGTTGAGTATGGCGACTTGAGAAACACCCGTGCCTTGTTTTCTTTCTTGCTTTTTTTAACCTCTAAAGACACAATCCTCAAACCAACAAAACTCAGTATGCACAGCCACTACTGATTGAGGGCTGGATACCTCACCAAGACTGATAGCCTTCCCCCAAACCTTCTCTCCAAGAAGGAGAGTTTAGAAAGAGTTGTTACTGTTTCTGCTATGATAATTTAATGCTCATGCACCCATAGGGTACAAGGCTGATGTCCATGATTAACAAAATCATGGGAAGTGTAATGGCAGTCCATGTCATTGGGATACACTCCAAAACAACGTGAGCTTGACCATGACTTTTCATTGACAAATGGAAAGCTTTAGATACCTACTGTGAGTTCTGCTACAAAGCACAATTGAATTTGCCTCAACTATGCAATCTGATTGAGAAAAACTAAGTGTGGCATGCTACTTTTGCTTTCAGAGACTAAAACAGACATGTTTTTGAAAAGAGGAAGCTAAACTTTCCCTAAAGTACTGTTAATTGCATTTTAAGCCATAGCAGAGTTATAAATCAGGTAGAGTTTTTCAAATGCTTCAAAGGAATCATATGAATAGCACGATAAAAGAATAGCTATTTCATTTCATAAGACATATTCTTTTAGTCTGTCTGCCCATCATAAGGTAGAGAAGCTGCTGAATCATAAATCTGATAATTTGAATATGAAATCAATGTTTCATTAACTGGCTAAACAATAGGGCTAGAAATTGTAATTTGAGGTGTATACTGAAGAAAGAAACTGATGACTTTTTATCCAAGAAAATTGTGGCAGAAATTTGTTTAGTTCTTGAAAGACCACATAAGGGCAGTTAATCATTTATAACTCAAAATGGTTGGAAAAAGAAATTCCAGAGAAGTAAGTTTGAGTCATTTCAGTTCTGTGCCTGGAAGCAGTAAAAAACTATATTTTCTTTTTTATCTACATAAAAGTGCCATGGTTGTGTATCTGAAATTGAATAATTGAATCAGGAAAGCTTCCCCTAGCACATAAAAATTACTCTTAAGTAGAGGAGGAGGGAGACCTGTGAGCCGGGCCTACAGTATGATCCTAATTAATTATAGGAAGTTATTTAAAGTAAACTGGTCTCTCACACTGAATGTTACTTTATCAAAGTTGAAGTCATTGCAAACCTCTCCTTAATTGTATCCCACTGTCAACCTTCCTGAAATAATTCTGAGAGAGGGATTTTCTGTTCCTGAATGCACTTTGGATCAAAACTCATCATTCTTTCCCCATACATCCCTGCACAACATGGTGACTTAGGCACCAGCCAGAAAGTTCTCAAGATAGATGCCTCTTGACAGCACTATGGACTGATAGATAGTATCTGGCTACTTAGGAAAAATCATGACAATTCAGATTTGGAAGGTACTACAAGGACAAAATGCCAGCAGTTTCTGCCAAGGTACCCATGCTTATTTAAGACTGATTTGGGGGAATGGCTTACACTCTCCCGTAGAAGGGGTGTGATGGCCAGAACTCCCTGATGGTTCAGGCTTTTTGCCCTCCATTTTGACTGCACTGGCAGAGTTGTGTGAATATTCCTGGTACAGAGTTGTTTTCTTGTCTAGGAATGGTGTTGGTTAAAGGTCCTCTTGGTTTCATGCAATTTGGGAGTGGGTTCTCACTATTAGACTGAATGATGTCTACAGAGGGGGCCAGGACTTCACTTTGAACAGTTTTGTTTGACTAAATCATAAGAAGTGCTGTTTCCTGTAATCCAACTTTGGTCAACGTGGTGCATGTTGAGTGTCCTCAGAGAATATTGCTGATGAACCTATTGTCTACTCTGGGGCCTGAGATTTCACTCTATGAGAAGTTTTGATCCTTTACCAGAGAAAGCTTCAATATATTTTGGCACTAAACAGATGTAGGTTGGGGAGAGAGAGTATTTTCTTGATTTCCCCTTTGTTAAGAAACAGCATCCAGATAATTTGGTGTGATTGGCACTTATTTGTAACTCAAATTGTGTGTTCTAACACTGTTAGAATTTCTCTCCTTTTGGTAGTATATTTTGAAAAGGATCCATTATCAGACCTTCAGAGTAGTAAAATGATGGATTCACTAAGTAATTAAAGAGGCCTCCTTTCTCTTAAATAATCATTCAGTTCAGCAATTATTGAATGAGCACTAATTATCTATCAAGCACCATTTTACTCAGTTACCACCTGCCACTCCATGAAATTCTTTGGCATGAATAGGTCAGAACTCCAAAAATTGGCCCTGCACCACAATGTTAATATTGTACTTCTTTGAGCATCTGATACTTATAAATAGCTGGTGTATCAATAATGTGTTGTTGATGAATGTAGAATAAGTAGTAAAAGTTATGGAGATGATGTTTTGGTATAAGTAACAATTAAGAGTTGTTCCCCCAAATTTGGGTGATAAGTAGCATCATTGGAATATCACATAATTAACTAACATAACTATTTTGTAGACAACACCATTTAATTGTGTATATGAGGTGCTTATATGTTTGTTAATAAATTGGTTGTGATACTTGATAGTCACAGCTCCTATTATAAGTTTTAATTGCCATGCTCCATGAGTTCTGGCTTTTAAATACTTGCTTTGGGGAAAGATCATCTTGTTCCTTTATAAACTCTGTAGATTAATGTATTGTTTGACTTAATATGCAAATACCATATGCTGACTTGAGCCTATTAATTTAAAAACTCTCAAGAGCTGGTGTGGGTGATTGTAGCACATTCTTTCAATTATCTTCATTAGCATGAAGTCCTTATCCTCTGTAGGTGGATTTAGTCTTGAAGACGGTCAAGTCATTTAGAACTAAGGCAGGGGTAAGGAGGAGCAGAGAGGAAACAAACGAGCATTTGTTGAGAGTTGACTATTTACAGAACATTCTGTCAAGCACTTACTATTCATCACTGACTTTAATGCACTTAATAACTTAGAAAGATAACTATTTTTATTCTTTTTAAAGAAATTTACCAACCAAGGGTCAGAGAGGTCAAATAATTTGTTTAGTATTTTACAGAGCTGCCAATAGGCTTCAGAGAAGGTTTCTCTGTCATGTTGAAGGCTTCAGAGGTTTCTCTGTCACGTTGCTCATTTCTTACAGCACCTGTGCATGCAATTGTTTTGGTAAACAAAGGCAAGACATGGCTATAAAATAGTGAACTGAAAACATTTCATTCTTTTTGATGTGTTACTGTTGCTGCAGAATAGAGAAGGCTACTTCTTTGTATTAAGTAGAAAAAGATTTGTAGGAAGCATAAAAATATAATGCCCTGGTCCAAGCTAAAGTTACATTTATTTAACTGTTATATTCAAAAATCATCATAATATACCTCAACTATTTATTTATAGTCATGTGTCATATGGCACAAGTCCAAATTCTGATGTTAACATCAAGTCTTAGTTTCTTAAATGGAACCAGAGGAAAGGCAGTTCAGGATTGTTGAGTCAGAGCTTTGGAAATTTCAGGTGCAGGTGTTTTCCCCTCTATTTTAGAATGTCTCTTCTTCTTCTTCTTCTTTTTTTTTTTTGGTGTATATTCATTTTGTTCCCTAGAACACATTTTACTGGAACATACAAATAATGTTTCATGTTAAATGAGCATCTGTGACCTTACATTACATACCAAACTGGCCCAGCTGTTACCTTTAGTAGCTTTGGAAACACTGTAGCATGGGTGTGGCAATGCACCCTCAGAAGAAGGAATCACCTAGAGGAGGGCTTGGTGGCGGTAATGGCAATCCTTTACATTCATCAACCATCTGGAATGTTCTTCCTCAGTCCACCATGTCAGCTTGCAAATTCTTGGGTGGACTTGGAAGCAGAATGTTGCTTTTTGGAGCCTATTCTATGTTACCTGTACATGCTCCAAAGAGAAGAGTCACAGTGTGCAGGCATTTATAGAATCCTCCAGTATGACCAGTAGGAGAGCCCAAGCTTGGTAGCCGAATATTTTATGATTTTGTGTGAGCGTAAAATGTCCTAGATGGCACAAATGTATGATTATAACCATTGATTTCTAGGGGCATACTGGAATTCCAAGGAGTAGATAGATAATCAAAATACGGTATAACTACAGAATTGTCTGGATTTTAGGTTTGCTAATCCTCCGTCATGCAGACCTGTAGGCAGGCTTATATGTTTTGCATTTTCTCTTTCCTAGTACAGAAGGAAGTATTTGTGTCCTGGTGCACTTAATCTTTCTGTCTCCTCTTTTTTCCTCGTCTTCCAGGCTGTTGCTGATTCTATATGCCCCAGACATTAGAATCAGGTCTGTGTATGTATGAAGAGGTTATTTTAATTATCTTTTTTACTCAACCCTAGGAAGGGTCAATTATGCTGGAAACCCTCCCTAGGTGTTTGCTTTTGCAACAATAATAAAAAAAAATGCCTCGGTGCTAAAAGTATTTGATGATGCACGCTTACCACAAAAATGTGCCACTGAATTTGCAGTATTTTACTGATAAGGGGCTGCATGTGCTCTGCTTTTGGAAATCTGGAGAACTTCCCAGAAATGAAGCACTCATTACTCTCATTACTACAGTTAATCTTGAACTTTACACTGCAAATATGAAAATATACTTTTTCTATAGAAAATGCATCACCTTTGATATTTATTTTAGTAAGAATAATCAATGCTAAAAATAATTTCAGAGAGGAGAGAATAAATATTTCAGATAATCTTTTCTTATTTCTTCTCCAAAAACCTTACACCCATGTAAGGGGTTTTAATATTAGGTTTTTGAAGGTGTTGTCTTTTCCTGGTTTCCTACTACATGTATCATTGAAGAAGATATTATTGACACTGCAGTATTTGCAGAGACATATTAAACCAAAGGGGTGAATAAAAATGTTTAAAGTTTGTATCTAGAATTGGACAATAAGACTAATTGGTAAGAGTTTATAGTGGGCATTTTTCTTAAAGTACATACCTCTACCCCAAAACCCAGATGTTAATTTGGAAGCATCACACAGGCAGGTCCATGTCTGACTCTTTAGTTAAAGGAAACGTAATACTGTGTTAAATCAATTGGCATTAGGAGCCAAGTGGAGTGTGTGTCCAGTGTGTATGTTTATTTGTAGAGGTGTGCTTGTGTGAAAGACTGTACTGAGTTGTTCTATAAAGGAGCTTGATTTTGTGATTTTTAATATGAATATTTATTTGGAGACCTGTTAGGATAATTTAAAAGTTGTATAATTTCATTGTGCTTAATGAAATCTATTGTCAATGTACTAATAAACCTTGGTTTACAACATCTTGAATACTTGATCCTTGAAAATTAAGAGGAAGACTTAAAAAAAAAAGAATAAAGTATGTTGGAGTGAAATGAATTTGCTTTTAGGACTTTTGTGGTTTGAAGAGATGAAGCAATGTGGACAGTGTGATCTCATAATGAAGACATAAGGGTGTAATTAGATTAAATGACTCACTTTTTACTCTGAAAAAAAAAAGGGCAGTGATGAACTCTGTAAATAATTGGCAATTCTGCCTTGAGAGCAAATGTCCTGTTTGTAAACTATGAGGACTATAGTCTTAAGCACATTTTTCATTGATTCACCATAGATAATACTTTTATTTTTTTAAATTCAATTAATTTATGTTTAACTGAGGTAATATTGGGTATCCCCATCAGGTATTACCATCATAATGTGCACCCATCACCCACTCAAGCATATTCCACCTCCACAGGCCATTATGCTTCCTTCCCTCTTTGATTTTTCTCCTTTCCTCCCCTTGGTATTCAAATCCTGTAGTCAGCGATCAAGGGTTCACTAAGTGGTCCATCACTTAGCTGTTTCAATTCAAACAGACCATGGGACTGCAGAACTATGTATCTTTTTTTTATGCATGCAAGAGCTGGGGTACAGGCCAGAGGTGTGGGGTGTGTGTGTGAGAGGATTCACCAGAGACAGAGTGGGGAGCAGAACAGGCAGATGTACTGAAACACACTGCTGAGGGGAGCAGTGGGCAGGTCAGGAGAGGTCTGCTGAGTCATGTGGTCACCTCCCTGGCGGGGGATGGAACTCATGCTTCCATCTGGAAGCTCTGGAGAGCTTCATAGTGCTGTGCCACCAATGTGGGCTCAGAACTATGTATCTTGACTCTGGTTTATGTTAGTCAGATTAGGCTGAATTGCGCTTAAATAAAATACTCCTCAACCCCTTACCTTTAGTGGCTTCATAGCACAAATGTTTAGTTCTCACTTACATTACATGTCTACATAGGCCTGTTCCACAGAGTCCCTCAGGAGTCAATCTGACAGGCTCTAGCATCTTGAACTGTATCATCTGGAAATTTCAAGATTGGTCTTGGTTGCTAAGGCAATAAAGGGAAGAACCCAGAGAAAGAGAAAGAAGCTTTTCATTTTCTCAGCCTGAAAAGGACACGTCACTCCTGCTGATGGTCTGAACTAGTTCGACGTTCCTGCCAAAACTGCTGGACTCTTGATGTGTAGAGAAACCAGTGGTGAACATTTGATAGTAATCGATGGACTGTGATAAGTTAAAAACAATTTCCAAAGGAGTACAACTGTTATTCTAAAAATTGGTAAAGGGGAAGTTCTCAAGCATAATAAAGCATGGTTTCCAAAGGAGTATCAAGCCTTGACAAAAATAAACAGTTGCAAGTTCCATTTCTCCTGTTTCTACTGAGTAACAGACTAATTGCTCACACATCCCAAGAGCTGGCTTGAGAGTGGAGAACTTGTGGGCAGGTCAGACTCCATCCATGGAGAAACAGTGCTGAATTTTAATGTATCTTTTGATAGACAGAGTTTTCTAAGGACACAGGCATCTAAAAATTTTGGGTGAGAGGCGGAAGGAGGTAAAGGAGCCATGGAAATAACTGTATGACTCACGGACTGAAACTCAACGTGATTATATTTAGAACTTTGCCTCGAATGCTCTATAGGTGGAAAGCGGGGCAATTGATTTCTATTTCTCACTGTCATCCTCTTTGCACACCTAAACTAAAGGGCCACAGTGGTCCGAGACACATGAAATATTGGGGTGAATGTGTGCATGTCTGTGCTGATTTCTGGGTAACCACTTGTTTCCCAGCCCTGGCAGTGTGCATTCATCAAAGAAGCCACGCCTACATCATCAAAGAAGCCACGCCTGCAAGAGCAAATGGTACCCTTGCTCAAACTCCCTACTTCTCAATTATGTGTGCAATTCAGGCAAAAGGATTTCTTTGGAGTTTCTTAAGTAGCTTCTTTCTGAGGAGAGGCAGAGCCAATCTGAATATTGGGCTTTTCAAAATAGACACATGGGGGGGGGGGAACTCTTAAGAAGTGAGGAGAAACAAAGAAAGATTGTGAATGTGACTACTTATCATCCTTACTTTAGCCTCAGAATTGGTGCAACCTCAGTATTTTAAAAGCTGTTAAGAGAATCTTCCAGTTCTCTTTAAAGTTGCCAGCTGGGCAGAGATGGCCTCTGTAGCTTCAGGATATAGGAGCCAGAAACCACTTTAATTGCACAAAGTCATTGGAAAGCGAATAGATCAATATTCAGTGCTCACTTTTGGATTTAAACAGCAGAAGTTTGATGTAGTTCCAATTCATAATACAGTATAAATCAGAAGAAAGCTAAAACTATTGGTATTTTAAAATGGCTAAGATCCTAGATATTGAAGAAAGAGGAAGCTTGCCATGGCTCAACTTGTTCTAGATGTGTTCTTGTCAAAATGATAGCGCTACTTTAGAAATCAATGCAAGTGGCAACTTTGGCCCAGACCCTAACCAGAAGTTATCTTTAGTTGCACTAGAGTGACACCTAGTGGTCATTATGGAAAACACATGCTCTACCCATCAGCCCTTCAGGTTCTGGGCTTGACTTGTGTGGGGATCTCTTCTGCTAATGCTTCTAAGTGCATTGGTTCTGCTCTGGCTGTGGATCACCTGCATGATTTAGGTTAAGCGGTAGGACAATATGGGGTAAGATGAGTTGAAGAGAGAATGCATATTCTGAAAACTTCAGAGTTTTAGTAGGTCCACTGTGGGAACTGACAGGTACTTAGAACACTAAGGTTTTTGTTCATCACTTCATTTGCCAACAGAAAAGTGAAGCAAGGGTTAGCCCAGAAACTCCAGCATTTGTTACTTACTTTGTGCCACTAGCTCTAACCCTCTGGGATGCTTTGCCTACCTCAGGCATCAGGGGTTCCCTGGTCCCAGTGGCAACGTTTTCATTTTTGAAAGTCATCCTCTCTACTTAGTTCATATGGCAGTGGTCTGGTTATAAGCCCAACAGACTGTGCTGGTGACATCTTCATCACCAGCCACTCCACCTAGGGGAAGGTAAATCGATTAGATTATCATGTCAGTCATTTTATTAGGGAAGTTTCCTGATCAAAAATGGGGGAGGAGGAAGGTTATGAATATGGCCAGTTATTCTCACCCTGTCAGCCTCAGTCTTGGTACAGTGACAGTTTTCGCTTGTGGGGACAGTGCAAACTGGGAAGACACACTATCTGGAGCCCCCTGGGCTAGGGTACTCCTCGTGATGTTGACTAGGGGTGGTGATACGGAAGGAAAAGGACAAATTTGAAATAAGAGAATTGAGGTTGGATGAGATCTCTCCATGTTAAGATGGGGAGTGGAGATATTCCCTAGGAAGGTGGATTGGAAATTAGAGAGAAAGTTAGCCCTGGGCAACTGGCACTAATCTAAGAGAAGCTATTAGTAGCCAAGGTGACGCAAATGGGAGCCAGTGACTGGAAAGCTAGAGCTTCATAGAGGGCATTAAAAATCGCACCGTCCAGAGCCCTCCCTGGTGGTGCAGCCGGTTAAAGCACAGCACTAAAACCACTTCAGCATGAGTTTGATCCATGCCCCGGAGGTGACCCATCTGGCATGGCAGACCTCTCCTGACCCGCCCGCTGCTCCCCTCAGCAGTGTACTTCATCAGTCAGCCTGTTCTGCTCCCCACTCTGTCTCTGGTGAATCTTCTCACTGCCCCTGCACCTTTGGCCTGTACCCCAGCTCTGTATGCATAAATAAATAAATCTTAAGAAAAAAAATGCCCTCTAACAAAAGGGATGGTTTTCCACAAATTTGGGTCTCCACAATTATCCAAGTATAGACTGGGCAGGTTCTGAATCCCCTCACTTTCCAAACCTCCCATTATTATTTTCCAAACCTCCCTTTATTATTAATTTTCTGATCTCTTGACAATTCATAGATTATTAGCCTTTCTACCTGAAGGTGACACTCCTAAGTCATTCTGAAGCAGAAGGTAAGTTATGGACTTTGTCAATCAGAAAATCTGAAGTTTTGGAGGGTGGGTAGCTTTCCAACAAAGCTCACCATCCTCAAAGAACTCATGTTGCCCTCTATGGTTTCTTTTCTTGCTTAAAAAAAAAAACACCAAAAACCTCCACTTATGCTGCCTAGAACCAGCTATAATTTGTGGGTCTTATGACAATTGGAAGTACACAACCCCTCATTCAAAAATTGCTAAGGATTTCAAGTTTCAGAGAACTGAAACAGGCGCTGGTCCTCACCCACTGCACCTGTGCAGGTGTCTTGCCACGGAAGCCTCCCTGGTACTCTGTGCCATGTCCTCTGACAGCAACGAACCAACCCGTGTTGAAATCATTCATCTGAGAATGTTCTATAAAACACTAACTGTGGGGCCCTCCCTGGTGGTGCAGCGGGTTAAAGCACAGCACAAAGAAGCTTAAGCCACTTCCGCATGAGTTCGATCCCCGCCTGCCCCGGAGGAGATCCACATGGCGTGGCAGACCTCTCCTGACCCACCCGCTGCTCCCCTCAGCAGTGTACTTCCTCGATCTGCCTGTTCTGTATCCCGCTCTGTCTCTGGTGAATCCTCTCACCCTCCGCATCTCTGGCCTGTACCCCAGTTCTGTACGAATACATAAATAAATCTTTAAAAAAAAAAAAAACAACACTAACTGTGGGCCAGTTTTCCCAATACACCTAATATGCCAGCAGGTAAACTGAGATCAGGAGTTAATTTTACTTTCAAGGAATAGGTACACCACAAAAACTGGGTTAAGTTCATTTCTCTGAAACAGGTAAGGTTTAAAGACCTTTTATTTCAAGGAATATTGCTTCTAGACTTTCCTGAAGCCAGAATTGTTCTATAAAAGTATCACAGAATATTACACAAGATTTAAAAAACAGTCTGCTTTCTAATAACTTGAGACTTTTATACAAAATACATCATTCATTACCATAAATATGTTTCTTCTGTCATTCAGCTGGTGACACACACATCTGATAAAGAGCTAGTTAATTTTAACATATGTACAGAGTTTATGATAAAGACTTAGTTATCAAAGATTCAACTATAACATATTAAATTTACCTTCAAAAGGTCTATCTTAAAATGCTTAAAGAAAACATAATTTACTTATGTATTTGAATCCTCTAAACATAGAAGAAAATCACTGTTAAGCCAGGAAAAAAACTCCTTGTGATGCTGACTAGGTACTTACTGATAACTCTAAATGAGGTAATCCTTTTGCTGGTACTTAAAAATTTAATACAAAACAAGAGTACTGTTAAGAACATAGATTTTAAAAGCAGTTTTAAATTATGACTTTAAAAAATTAGAATGTAGTGAAGGCCTTAAAAATAATACAACACATATGGTGTGTTTAAATTATGAAACATTCAAGAGTTTGTTTCTTGAAAAATCCTTAGATAACTTCAAAACTGAACATATTTTCTCAACACTTAAGCTTATGAGCCAGGTCAAGAAAACAAAACAAAGATTAAAAAATCTTCAGTCCTTTCATCCTGTTAAGAAAATAACAAAAATTTAGCACTCTGAAGCATAAGATGAACACTTTAGGGCCAGGCACAGAGAGAGAGCAGGCAGGCAATCTTTGTTTTTATTTATTTATTTATTTTTATTGCCAACATCAGTGGCCATGCCTTTCTGCTAATCAATTTTAGCAAGTCAAGGTAAAACACATGCAATATTTCCTGGCAAAAGCTTATGTATGTTAACAATATGCGACCCATACTGTGTGTCACCTTGGGGTCTGTGACAAGGCTGTAAAGCACACAAAAGTAAGACGAATCAAATAGACGTGGCATTTTGATCTCAAAGTGCAAACTCATTGAACTAGAAATGATGGCACCGAAGAATTCCAGGGGTTAAAAAGGAATCCAAACCACCTTATACAGGCCAGGGAAAGTGTGTTGAAAGATACATGGAGAATGTGGAGTTTTAGAATCTCAAAAGGCACAATTCTAGCCATCTAGTTGGATAACATTGCTTTGTGGTGTCCCTACTTTCAAAAGATAATACTGTTATAGTATCCCCCACACAAACAGACAGATAAACAAACACAAATCAGTCTTCCTTGACAAAGAATAAATTGTCACGTGAGTCCGGGGACAGGCTGGCACGTGACTGGTTCCACTATCCGTGTGTACCTCAGGTAGTGTGGAATGTTGGTTGCCTTTATGAGTTCACGAATAAAAAATTTTCAAAATACTGTGTCAGGGTTGGGTCACGATTTCATCTAATCAGAGGAGAGAGGAAAGGGGTCACTGCCTTCTAGATGCTGCAAGTTCCCCCTTTTGTGGGTTGTTTCCACCTTGCTCACGACCTCCTCCATGCTGCTGGTACAAACAGGCTGCTCCACAGCAGACACGCTCATTGTGGAATCCACAGAATAAACAGGAGGATACAGCTGATCTTGGAACACATCTTCTCCTGGACCACCACCCTGGGGAAGTTCTTTCTACAGTCTGCTAACAGGCCGCGGCACAGGGCTGGCCTGGTGCACCAGTCATCCATGTCATTGCCACTGAAATCAGCTTCAAGGTGATTTCTCTCTTCATGATCCACCCACTTGTCAGTTTTATGATTTCTCCAGTGTTCAGAATTCAAATGACTAACTTCTGGAATGTCATTATTCCATTCAAGTTTACTCTCTGGACTGAAAGTTGGTCGGTTCAAATGCAGGGTACGAAGGTCAGCTGGCAAGGTCAAGTGAGGGGCTTCCCCAAACATCTGCCTGGGTCTTCATCTGACTCAGCAGAGGTCATCTCTGCGGGCACAGAGAGTCCATCCCTCTGAGCAGCTGTAGGCTTATTTGTTTTATTTTGCTCCTGGTGACTGTTCAGCAGTGCAAATACTCTATCTACATCCTTCAAGTAATTAGTCCAGTCACCCAGACTAAGTCTATAGTTTTGTCTGTCCGCATAGATGCTTTCATTTACACTGTATAAATCCTCCAGGCCTTGCCAGTTGATGTCTGCAGTGAGACTGGGCAGTTTAACCTTCCCATCCATCCCATAACTGTCCTCTGTGAAAAGAGAGAGGAACGGAGGAAAATTAGTTGCAGGAAACATTGCATCTCATTGGACAGGCCACTGACATTGCTTTCAAGAGAGCAAGTCAAATTTAAACATAGCACCAAAGGGCATTTCCCCTACTAATTTGTTACGAAGAGGTGTCCTTTAGTTTCAAAAAATAACTAAATGGTAACAAAAATTGGAAAGAGAATCAAATAAATGAAAAGTCTGTAGGTACCGTTGGTGCTGGCAATGTGCTGTGCTATCAGTCAGAAAACCTGACTTTCCTCCTGACGCTACCCTGACTCTCTGTGATTATGTGGTGGGTCTCTATGCATCCTGGTCCCTTACTTACAGGCATGTTGGGTGAATGATAGACTTAAGGTTAATATAATAGGGAATGTTTAGTATGGTATTTTTATTTTTGCACTCCCTGTCATTAGTATAAAACCAAACTTGGATGCAATTAAACTCTTCAGAGCTAATGCTTGGATATTTTTCTTTGACTTTTTGTCTTAAAAGTTCATGTCTTTCTGAATTAAAAAGATGTGGTACAGGGCCCTCCCTGGTGGCGCAGCAGGTTAAAGCACAGCACAAAGAAGCTTAAGCCACTTCCGCATGAGTTCGATCCCCGCCTGCCCCGGAGGTGACCCATGGCGCGGCAGACCTCTCCTGACTGGCCTGCTGCTCCCCTCAGCAGTGTACTTCGTCGATCTACCTGTTCTGCTCCCCACTCTGTCTCTGGTGAATCCTCTCACCCTCCACATCTCTGGCCTATACCCAGGTTCTGTACGAATAAATAAATCTTTAAAAAAAAAAAAAAGATGTGGTACATATACACAATAGAATGTTACACAGCAATCAAAAAAGATAAACACATGCCTTTTGCAGCAACATGGATGGAGCTGGAAAGGATCATGCTTAGTGAAATAAGCTAGAAAGAAATGGAAAAATACCAGATGTTTTCATTCATCCCAGGAGTATAAAGGACCAGGAGAGAAAATAATAATGATGAACAACTATATACCAGAGACATTTTACAGGGGTGGGGTGGGGAATGGGATCAAAAATGGGGGTGGGGAGAAATGCACTGGACTATGGTGATGGTACACAGGTGAGTTGGTGGTGGGAAGCCCACAGGGATTACAACTGAAATGGAAAAAGGCACAAAATGATGTAAAAATAAACTATTATATTACTTAAAAAACCCACAGAATAAAGACTTCGGGGAAAAAAAAAGTTTACGTCTTAGATAAATCAAACTTTGAGTCATTTTCACAGTATGTAAAAATGGTACCAATTCTCTCTCTCTCAGAATTTCCTATATCACCAAAATGATGATAATCCTGAGGAAGACAGAATCTCCTATCTAGTGGAACCCAGTTACCATTCAAGAAATAACCTAGGTTAATGCAATTAACCGCTCACAGAGCAATACAGGTTAGTAGGAAGAATAAAACAATGCAAAATTGACAACCTCACTCTAACTAGAAGACAGAAAATTCTATGATCTTCAAATCATCTACAACTAAAAAATGGTTAATATTAAACCCTAGCAGAGCTGTATACCACAGGTAGGACACAGCCCAGGATGGAGAAGAGAAGAAAGAGAAAAATGGAGCCAAGAATTGCCTCGAAACAATCACCAGTGTCCACCGATGTATGATGTACTGTAATTACAATGTGACAACGAGGAAGAGACTTAGATGTGTGTGCAAGAATCAAGTCCTTGAAAGGCGGAATTGAAAAGCATTGCTTCGGTGAGAAAAAGATACAAAGAAAGGGAAAAACATTCTTTGTAATTTGGGTGATAAAAGAAAAAGAAAGCAAAAGAGAGGAAATTTCAGGTCCTGTAAGTAAAAGAGAGAAAGAAAAATTGAAGGATACACAAACCACTCACTGCCAAATAATAAAAACTTAATGAATAAAAAGGATGGTTACATGGACATAAAAAGATCTGCTTAAACTAGGAATTTTGTAAATGCTTCAAATTCTGGAGATTAATAAAGCAACCTAAATGTATTCAAAATTGTTAAAAAAGAAAATAAATGACAAGAATAAAAAATTATGAAAATGCCGCTAAACTGAAAAAATACATATCCAAATAAATTAAATATTCTCAATAAATGAATTAATAGTCAATCAATAATATTAGCCCAAAGGGCTTAATTTTCTTGATCAAGCATGTGAAGTATTTGAAAACCATTTTTTAAAAAAAAATTATTTATTTATGCTTACAGAACTGGAGTATAGGCCAGAGGTGTGGTGGGGGACAGGATTCACCAGACAGAGTGGGGATCAGAACAGGCAGATCTACTGAAATACACTGCTGAGGGGAGCAGCGGGCAAGACAGGAGAGGTCTGCTGTGCCAGAGGGAACTGTGGGTCAGCTTCCTGACTGGGGATCCAATTGTGCTGCCGTGGCTTCAGGAGAGCTTCATAGTGTGGTGCTTTAACTCACTGCACCACGGGGGAGAGCCTTTCAAACCATTTTTAATCAAAAATTAAGATGAGCCAAGGAGCTTATATCCAGGAAGCCCTCATTCAAGTATCAAGGCTATAGAAAAGTTTTTAAAATATGAGGGTAGAGCCTCCCTGGTAACACAGGTGTTAAAGTCTCAGCACTTGCCATATCCCCTCCCGTGGTGCCTAAGTGAGAAATCCTTAGAGCTTGGCATGGTCAAGGTACCGGGCACACGGGAGGAATACGTGGCCCTCCAGGAATAGAAGAATGGCTGATTCTCGAATGGTCACTGTAACTTTTGATTTGTTTCCTGATTCTGCTGACATACAATGTACTGAACTAAAGAAATGTTATGGACATTGTGCTTCATTCTAATGATACTCTTGAAAGGAATGTAACTTCCTCTGTTCTCGATACCGATTTAATTTTGAGAAACTCTGCTACAATCTTTAATTCTATTAAACTATTAACTCCTGTACACCAGGTGGCTTGTGAAAAGAATGGAGAGAGCAATTAGAAGGATTAGCAAGGCATAAATGATAGGGCATTTGTTTAGCACCACTGAACCTTGAATACGCAATGGTTTCTCAGGGCCTCAGGTTGGTCTCGGGTCCCTGACAACATCTCAGAAATAATAAAAAAAAGTATTACCTGTCACGCTTCTATTAAAAGAATCATTGTACCCCTATATTTGCTTGCCAAGAAAAATTGTATAAATGCTCTGCACTTTTAAAAATTAAATACATTCAGATATGCACTCCTAGAAGTTGTGTCTGTCTGTCACTCAGCCTCATCCTTGTCCACCCTGCGCCAGAATTGCAATCCCTGAAACTTGTCTTCTGCTCCTGCTGTGCTGGTCGGGGGCAAGCACTATTAAGCTATCACCAGCCACTGAGGGCTAAGTTCATTCATCAGCCAGGGAGCTGACCCACATGGTGCAGCAGACCTCTCCTGTCTCACCTGCTGCTCCTTAAAAATGATTTTCACTGTATCTGCCTGTTCTGCTTCCCACTCTGTCTCTGGTGAATCCTCTCACTCTCTGCACCTCTGGTCGCATTTTTGTATGTATAAATAAAATAAATCTTAAAAAAACAAAGAGGGTGGGAGGAGGTATGAGGGGGCGGGTCCTCCCTGGTGGCCCAATGGGTTAGGACTTAGTACTGCAAGCTAGCCGCACCCACTTCAGTGCGAGTTGGATCCCAGACCTGGAGATGTCTACATGGCATGCCAGACCTCTCCTGACCCACTGGCTGTTCCCCTCAACAGTGTACTTCATTGATCTGCCTGTTCTGCTCCCCACTCTGTCTCTGGTGAATCCTCTCACCACCCCGGCAC